ACACACACACACACACACACACACACACACACATGCACGCACACTCCACCCCACAAGATTACTAGTCTTTACAGTTGGCTGGAAATGTCAAGGATATTGGTATGGAGCAAATAAATATTAAATGTTCTTACCATTGAGAAATTCAAGAAAAAAATCTGAGGTGGCAAACACACTGTTAGATTAACACATCCTCAGATCTTTATATTTTGTTCTCTTCTAGATTATTTTTATTAACCTACAGAAAGTTAGATTACATGCTCTACTTGTTCACATTTCAAAAAACATTCCTTTTCTTCTTCTTTCATGAAATGTACCTATAAAAAATAAATTTTAAAAATGTACCTGCAAAAACATGCCATAACATGGTAATCCTAAGCATTGGATAGGGGCTGCACAGCCATTGAATTTAAAACAGGAAACCTGTAAAGAAACAACTATTAATTCCTCTTTTTCAATGGAACTGTACAATGATTGGACATTCAAATTTAATGGAAATATGCAGGAATTTTTCAGTATTGAAAAATAATTAAAACACTAAATAATTAGCATTGTGTTATATAGGTGGGATCTCAAAAGAAGTATAAACAGAGTCCATCTTCAAGTTCATAATTTATTTAGAATAAAATACATGCACATGAAATTATTTTGATAATTCAGGTTAGAATACATATAAGTGTTAAAATGACCAAATATACACTGTATCAGATATTGTGAAAGCAGAAATAAGATAAATTTGATCAAAACAGCTTCTGAAGGATGTGAAAAAAGCACTTAGAGTAAGATGCAAATATAATGAATGGAAAAGATAGGTGAGGGAAATGATAATGACAAAATTTTATAGAGGTAGGATAAAAAGGTTTATATGGAAAGAAAGATATGACATGCTTAATTGGGCTCAATGTAGTAGAAGTAAGGTTGCATCGTCAGGGAGAACCCTAAATATGGACTTTGGACTTTATCTTGCTGAAATTGAGTAACCACCGAAAGATTTTTAAGCAAGAAAATTAACTTGATGAAAGGGATGTTTTAGGAAGAATATCTTGATTCAACATACAGAATGTCCTGGGAAGTGAAGAAATAGATGGCAGAAAGATCATCTGAGAAGCTGCTGCAATAATATAGATCTGAACTTCATGCAAATGCTGACATGAAAAAAGCTGATGCATCAGAAACAGTTTGCATACTATTGAGTGTAGAACTGAACCGCAGCATTGGATGTATATTTGAGTTTGTATAGTGAAATTCAAAAGCTTATACAGAGATTATGCCTAAACACGTTGATACATATTTCCAAGTCATAAATTATCATAAAAGTTTTATTATTTTAATATTAAAAACACTTTCCTATTTTTTGAAAATTTAAACAGTAAGAAATGATTTCATTTTAATAAAATACGTAAATCACCACTTTAAAACATCCTCAGGATTCTCATGTAGGGTAAAAATACTTTTATACTCTGATAAGCTTAACAAACTTGAATGATGTTCTTAGTTATATAAAAATATTATTTTATGGGGTGCCTGGGTAGCTCAGTTGATTAAGCATCTGAGTCTTGATTTTGGCTCAGGTCATGATCTCATGGTTTGTGGGACTGAGCCCCACATCAGGCTTTGCGCTGACAGTGCAGAGCCTGCGTGGGACCTCTCTCTCCCTCTGCCTCTCTCCCCTGCTCATTCTCTCTCTCTCCCTCTCGAAACAAACAAACAAACAAACAAACAAACAAACAAACAAACAAACATTTAAAACATTGTTATATGATAAGTAAAAGACTACTGCATTTTGGTGGTTTATAATCTCTGGATACTTGGTATTAGATCATCATCAATCAGTTTTTAGTACTAACTTATGAAATTCTACTAATTGAAGATGGATCTAAAATGAGTGTAAGACATTCATTAAAATATCTTTACTGGAAACTTAATTATGAACTAATTAAGAAGTGTGATCTTACTTCTGCCAGTATCCTGTGAATGTACTTTAGTCTTTCCCTTGTGGGTAGCAGCAATGTACATCTTTTAAATAGCAGACCTGAGAAAGTAAAGAGACACATGAAAAAAAAAAAGATAACAATGCAATTAATTTAAGAGTACCTATAAAGCACAGCATAACATTTCCTGAAAGTCAAGTATGGTATATCACAGTAGACTGTGAGCTGACATGGTTCTGAAGAGGAAGTTTGGAACTCTGATGTCCACTAAGTGGCATAAAATCTTACAAAACATTATGAAATTGATATTATAAGACATACGGAAACTATTTAGACTTAAAAAGATACAACAACAGACACAAAGATACACTAGTGGAACTTTATATTGTCTTTATTCTCAAGAAAACAGATTCCAATAGTTCTTGAAATTAACATCATGTTCACGAAGGAAAATGTTTTAAGAGTCGTTAACGTAAAACATGGAAAGAATGAAAAAAGGGATTTTGTATTCCTTTCTCCAGATAAAAAATTTTTTAAAGCATTAAGTACTTAAAATTTCAGAGGTTAGAAGTTATTTTCACTCACAGAAAGTATCTAGTTTGGATGAAATATCCATTTCTTCCTTCAAAGATATCCTTTTATGGGACTTATATGTTAAGAATGTATAGAATTTTGTATTCAGATATTTTAAAAAAGAAAAAAAAAAACTCTTCAATTTCCCAGTGAGATATGTAACTTGAACTACAGTGACAGTGTATGATTTGTTTCCTGTAACTTTATGTGTTCTGTTTTCCTAAAATGGCAATACACTGTTAACATTCCTATAAGGGCAATGTTGTCCTTACACTAAAAATAAGATACATGGTAGGAAAATATATATCTGAATATCATGAATTTCTCCATTTTTATCTTCTCTGCATTTACTTTTTAACACATATAATAACTGCTTTATATAATTCTGTAGAATCTATGGGAATCCAATTTATTTTTAGAAGTTGCTATGTTTGGATAACACATGACCAGAATTGAGTTTGAAATATAAACCCTTCTTATTTTTGTACATAAAAAGACATTTTCAGTGCTTGGTTTTTAAGCTGAGTTCTTTTTCCTTTCATGTTTTGGCATCCAGTTCCATGGCATAGCATAGCTGGGGAATTGTAAGCTATAATTGTATGTTGGTTGCTTTTTCTAATGTAAAACTCCTATTTTTAAGGATTGCAATTTACCATAAAAACCAGTACTGGCTGGCTTATTTATTTTTTTTAACACAGGTGCTCTGCTATACCCTTTAGAGGCCAACTTTTAAAATTTCTTCCCACTAAAATAGAATCAGATGTAATGTTCTTTTCACACTGGCCATCTGCTCTGTTTTGTATGAAGAAGCAAATTAAAATTTATAATTTTCAGAGCACAGAATTCTGAAAATGTTATTTTGATGTCTGAAAACAAGAACAGATCAGATAGGAATGGCAACATGAAAAAATGGTAGGTACATCAAATTTATCTATAGAATAAGTCATAAGCCAGGTGTCTGCACCAAAATTGAATGGAAGGTTGAAATCATTACGTGAATAAAACTGTTTTTAAAAGCTGGCTATTAAGATCAATACATATTTGTATTTTTCCACTGAATTATCCATATAATTATCTTAAGGCTGTTTTGCTTATTTGAGTGACTAAGTCTTGGTCATGGAGAAAAAAATTCCTTCAGATCAAAACCAAAAAAATAAGCTCTTTCACCACACCACTTGTTCTGTAACTAAGGATGTTTGGAAAAGGATATTTACAATGACAAGTAGCAAAAAGCCATTGCTATATTCTGTTACAGGCTTTACTAAGTCTAATCATAAATACTGAAACCAGTAACAGTGCAATCAGATTACATACCTTTCATTTAATCTTATTAAATACACTTATCAAATACACTTCTATGTATTTACACAGGTATATAATCTTAAAGCTAGGTATCCTTGGGCTACTAAAAGATAATAATCACTGAACTATTATACCTTAATTTAAAACCTGAAAACATCATCTTAATTTTTTTTTATTTTTTTAATGTTTATTTTTTAGAAAAAGAAAGAGAGACAGAGTGTGAATGGGGGAGGAACAGAGAGAGAGGGAGACACAGAATCCGAAGCAGGCTCCAGGCTCTGAGCTGTCAGCACAGAGCCTGACATGGGGCTCGAACTCACAAACTATGAGATCATGACCCGAGCCAAAGTTGGATACTTAACCAACTGAGCCACCCAGGTATCTCATTAATTTTTGGTTTTATTGCCATACTTTGGTTAATTACAAGGTAGTTTCATAATTAAACTGGTGTCACTAGTCAAGTCAAAATGAGAATTTTATTTCAGCACTCTGAGGGAGAATAAAATCAATGAATGGGATGAAAGACATAAATAAACAACTACAAATCAAGGGAAGAAATTGTAATTTCCTTTGATAAGGTTAATTTATTATAGCATAAAGATTTATTAGTAAATGTGTAGAGTATCTTAAAAAACACACTGTTTCTGATAAGAGAATAAGTGATCTTCCACAACATTTCTGTTTTAAGGACTATAGATTATGGTTAAAAGAGAAAAGAGGTTTCGAGATAAAACTCATTAGATACACAGGAAGTAAAGCATAGAAAATACATCAGTTTCCTAAACTGATAAGCCACCTAGACAATAAGCAAAGGTGACATTGTATGGACATGAAATCACAAGGACTGATACTTTACATTAAAGTGCATTCTCTCATCTTCAAAGATAAGTATAAGAGACTATTATGGGAAAGTCCTCACACTGAAGGGTAAAAGCATCATAGCAATAGGCACATCTTAAGAAATACCCCATTTCCCACAGGCCTTACAGAATTGTTTAATAAAATCCCCTTAATTAAGTGTAGTTCTTTACTTGTTACAATTCTCATTACATAAATTACCTAAAGATCTGTAATGTTCCAGTATGGCAGAGTCTTGTCTCTTGCTAGGCAGCTCAAGGTTATGAAAATCCTGTAGTAAAAGTCTTTTGCTTCCTGATGAGGTTGAGATATAATTAATAATGTGCTGGCTGACTGTTTTGGACACCATGCTTAGCATGCTGATATCCTTCACTACCAAAAGAAATATAAATACATATATATAAATGGCTTAAAGATAAGGGTAGCACTATTATACAATCTTAACTTATAATCTTTAAATTGTTTAAAATCTACCGCTGAATGAATTGGAAATATTTAGGGATGTAACCGTCAAGTTAACCATGTTATTATAATTAGAGGCATGCTTTAAAGAGTTTGAGTGTCGTACTTTCTTCATTGTACCCGTTGCCTAACAATGATGAAAATTTAGAAAATAAACATAATGTAAATACCATTAATATTCTAGCAGGGCCTAAGATGATAAACTAGTTCTTGGGAAAAAATATTCAAGTGTCTATATAACCTACTCATAGTCCCCAGACCTCACCTGACAAATATCTTAAGATTATTTGGAATATTTCCAATGGCAAGGCTTTAAAATTTCCAAGCGTTGATAAGGGCTGAGATTCTGAGCCAAGGGTATCGGAAAAATAGCTGTTGGATCGACGATTACTACGTCTATATTTCTGGTTGGGAATCAAAGTGAAACTGGTATTTATTCTAGATGCCATCCTCTTTCTTATCTCATGAATTGATCCTGGTTAGAAAAATAAAATATAAGAGACAAAGAAGAAAGGAGATTATAGCAATGAAGAGCTGTTCTTTTAAAATGAATTTGACACTTTGATGGGCAATAGCTGTCTATTTACAAATCTTTTTTTTTTTTTTTTCCTTAACTGATCTCTACTCCCATTGTGGGGCTTGAACTCATGACCACGAGATCAAGAGTTACATGCTCTACCAAGTGAGTCAGCCAGGCACCCCTCTATTTACAAATATTTTAATATAATATCCAATTTATGGAGTTCCCCCCCGTGGAGTCTATTTATTCATTTCACACGATATGAAATGTTTAAAAATCTTTTCCCTCTTAGCCAAATATTCTAGATAAAGAATTTTAGTAGAATAAGAAACACGTATTTGGGTAAGATATAGTCTAAGAAAAGAAATATGCAAAAATTTGAAAAAGTAAAAGATCTGACACAAAAAACCAATATAACAAATTCAAAACATTCAATATCTGTCCGTTAGTATGTTGTTTTCACAATCTTTACATTCTAAAAAGAAATCAAAATATCAATGTAGCTTTAAAATTTTGTAGTAAAGTCTTTCTATGTCTTTAAAACTGAGTACTAACATTTTCTGTTGTTGGAAATAGTAAAAATAAAGAGAGAAGAAATAGAAATTTTAGGGGCACCTGGGTGGCTTAGTTGGTTAAACGTCCAACGAAGTCTTGGTTTCAGCTCAGGTTATAATCTCTCACTTCGTGAGTTCAAGCCCTGCATTGGGCTCTACGCTAACAGTGTGGGGCCTGCTTGCGATTCTGTCTCTCTACCCCCCTCCCTACCTCTCCCCCCACTCGCTCTCTTTCTCTGAAAATAAATAAACTTAAAAAAAAATAAATTCTAAGTTTAGAGCTTTTAAAAGTTACCAGCTCTAACAGATTAAGAAGATTGCATTACTATTACCAATTAGGTACTGGATAACACAAATAAGCAGTAAAATTAAAGTCTTGTAAAATTAATAAGACTAGAAAAAATAAATGAGCAATGATTTTCCTCTTAATTCCACTTTTGGTTAATATTAATTACTTATAAGGTTTAGGAAGGGCCTATACAACTTGATTTCAAAAATGAGCATTTCTTCTATAATTTACTTACACCAAGAAAATTATTAAAAAAAAATTATTCATAACATGCAGTGACTTTGTGTCACTACTGCTCCCATTCAGAAAACACAGTCTTTTGTATATACACACACAGGTATATGTACAGACGCATAACTACAACTCCAATCTAAGGCTCTCTGTCTCCGAAGTAACGACTCAGACATTTCATCAGAGTTACAAATACATCTGACCAAAATGCATTTCCTCCTTTTGTCACACAATTGCTAAAATCACATTGTTATGTATTCCTCTAAGAGGTTACTTATAGCAACTTAAAATCAGTTACATTTGAAAACATGGCCAATAAGTGTAGTTCTTAGTGAAAAGCATACTGAGGCCCTCCTTTAAAAACATACCATAGCACCTTGCTTTAGCATTCCACGAGCATTTAAATTAGAAGAGATTTCAAAATACTCGTTAAAATTACGGAAGTAACATACTGTATTGTCAAAAGTTTACAAAATACACCAAAACAAAAAGACCATTAAATTCACTGATAAACACTTTTGTTCATATCATCCCAGAATTATATATTTAATAACATATGTATAACATATAACACATACATTATATATATTATGTATATGTTATATATACACATATATAATATATACATATATAATACATATACACATATAATATACACACATATATAATATATATAATATATATACATATATTATATATACACATATATATTACATATACACATATATTATATATACACATATATATTACATATACACA